CAGGGACAATCATCTTCTGCAGTGACTGCAAGGGGTCCTCTGCTGAGCTACAGCCCAGTTCAGCTGCATCTCAGCGCTTGTCTGAGCACGCATCAGTAGGTCAAATAAATGGAGGGGGAAAAAAAAGTGTTATTGGGCCTGTCCAGCACAGCCCAGTGACTGATGAGGCAAGGGAATAAATAAATCCAATATGAATAAAATGAATATATTAACATCACTATTAAACCATTTCACCTTCTTTTATTTTTCATGTGCTTTTCCCCCCCGTCTTTGCTTTTCCCAGGCTCATACATTCTGGGTTTTTGCTTTTTATTTCTGCATAGTATCGTCCTTAGCAGATGGCATGCAGACCTGGCTTTACCAAACACAAGGCAGCAGAAGCTATCATCAGGAGCAGCTTTCAGACCAGCAGAACAGTGTTTCAAAAAACACCCATGTGCTTAAGAATTTTTCCAGGTGCATTGTTTTTTTCTGCCAACTACTGACAACTGCCAAGTTCCTACAGTCCTCTAGATATCAAATCTCGGGAATGTAAGTGACGAGACCCACTCTCATCGAAAGCGAAGGGGTTGCCAAGCCAGGGACGAGAACTTTATCTGCCTTCTGCCCTGTACCTCCAGGACAACTCCAGGGCGATAGGAGCATTGGGTCGGGGTAGCCGCACAGACCCGGCGGGCTACAGACAGCGCGGCGCCGGCCTGCCTGCAGGGGGCGCCAAAGCACCGGACGCGGCGCTTTGTAGCGCAGCGGCTCACGCCGCTCCCCTCCGCGCCCGCGAGCGCCCGCCTCGCCGTGCTGGCATCGGTCTGAGAAGGCGGTGATGTAGTGGCGGAGGGGAGGAGTTGTACCTACCTGCCGCACTCGTTCTGCTTTCCAAGAAATACACTATTTTTTTCTCTTATTTATTTTTAATTTCTTCTCTCACGTTTGGCCTGCATTATTCTCCAGCTCCTACAACAGTTGTTCTCCCTTACATCAGCCCCGAGTGCACATAAATGGCTTTTTGTACACCGACATTGATCGTGGCAGAAAGCTCAGCCTGTACTGGG